ATCTGTTTAACACAGAGAGACTTGAATTGAGGCAGAGGAGATGGATGGAGTTCATCGAGGATTATGATTTGAGTTACACTATCATCCGGGAAAGGCCAATGTTGTGGCTGATGCCCTTAGTAGGAAATCCATAGTGATGTAGCTTGTATAGCCATCGGGAATGGGAGATGTTGGGAGCACTTGGCGAGTTGATTTGCTACTGGGCGAATCTGTTTGAGGCTGCGGCCCTTTTTTTTTTTTGTTTCCGTGTTTGCCGCAGCTACACTTGTGGCAGAGCTGTTAGAGGCACAGAGAGGTGACCTTGAGGTAGAATCCCTCAGAGAGAGGATCTCCAGTGGGAAAGTTGAGAAGGGTTTGACGGTGTTTCCCGACCTGAGTGTGAGATATCGAGACCGTTTGTTATACCGGAGTCTTGCCGAGAGAGGGTACTCCGAGAGTTTCACCATTCGCGCCTTGCGGTGCATCCGGGAGGTACTAAGATGTATCAGGGTTTGGTCGCCAGTTTTTGGGGCGAGGTATGAAGAAGAATGTGGCTGTTTCGTATCAAAGTGCCTTACTTGCCAGCAAGTGAAGGCGAGCATCAAAGGCCAGCGGTGTGTTGCAACCCTTGCCTATTGCTGAGTGGAAGTGGGAGCATGTCACATAAGGACTTCGTTGTAGGTCTTCCGAGGACTCAGCGGGGTAGTGATGCTATTTGGGTGGTTGTAGACCGGTTGACTAAGTCGGCGCACTTTATTCCTATGCGCGTGAGAGATTCGTAGATCATCTTGCGCGATTTGTATGTTCGGGACGTAGTGAGATTGCACGGGGTCCAGTGACGATCGTCTCAGATAGAGATCCTCGTTTTACTGCTAGGTTGTGGCAGAGTTTGCAGAGTGCCCTGGGCACTAAGTTGACCTTTAGTACGGCCTATCATCCTCAAACTGACGGGCAAGTCCGAGCGTACTATCCAGATCCTCGAGGATATGCTTCGGGGTTGTATCCTGGACTTCAGTGGAACGTGGGAGAGGCACTTGCCCTTGGTAGAGTTTGCCTACAACAACAGTTTTCAGTCTAGCATCGGTATGGCACCGTTTGAGGCCTTGTATGGCCAACCGTGTAGGTCTCCAGTTTGTTGGGCGAGGTGGGTGATGCACCTTTGTTGGGTCGAAGTTGTTAGGGAGACACGGAGAAAGTGGAGCTTATCCGTAGGAGGCTTGTTACAGCCAGAGTCGACAAAAGAGTTTATGCGACCGTAGGAGGAGACCTTTGGCAAGTGTCAATCTTTTTCTGAAGATATCACCTAGGCGAGGCTTGATGAGGTTTGGGAAGACTGGGAAGTTATCCCTCGTTTATTGTCTTTGAGATCCTTGAAAAGGATTGGCAAGGTTGCTTATCGGTTAGCCTTACCGCCGGGGCGTTGTTTTGGAGTGCATGACGTGTTTCATGTGAGTATGCTTCGAGATGAGCCAGATCCATCACATGTGTTGGATTGGACCGATTTAGAGGTAGATGGGATGCCTCGTATGAGGAGGAGACCCGGTTCGGGTCTTGGATAGGCGGGATCAGGTCTGCGTGCAAGACCATTCCTTTGGTGAAAGTCTTGTGGAAACATCACGGAGTGGAGGAAGCCACTTGGGAACGTGAGTTGGAAGTCCGGAGAAATATCCGGACTTGTTTTTTGATATGTAATCTTGTATTTAAATTTTGCCTATTGTTGAACTTAAGAGGCTTTATAATATGTCTTAAGTTGTGAAACATTGAAAATGTTTTGGTTTGTTGGAGTATTTTATTGGAACTTGCCTCATATGGAAGTTGAATGTAACATTATATATGTTGAATATATTGTTGAAATTGAAAGATAATGCATAATGTTGATGCATGTTAAAAGGACATATGTTGTTTACATATTGTGGAATGCAGTCTTGTTAAAGGGATGAAATGACCGGTATGGGTCGAATTTGTGAATGTTAAATGTACATTGTTTAAAATGGAGAAAAACTTGTTTTTGAAAACTTGTGCTTAATTTCGGGGACGAAATTCTTTAAGGGGGAGGTTATAGCGATCCCGGTTACCGCTGTGACAGTGATCCGGACATGTGTCCGTGGATGTTGGTAGTTGTTTCTTATCTGTTTACATCCTTTTTACTTTGTATATTGAGTTATAGGAGTGTTTGGCAGGTTTGTTACAGGTTGGTTGAGTTTGGGAGCCTGGTGTTGCTGCCCAGATTTTTGGACCTTCGCTCGAGCGAGGAGGGTTGGTCGCTCGAGCGAGAGTTGAGTTCGTGTCTGGTGGTCAAGCCAGAGTGCTTCGCTCGAGCGAGGGCTTGCATCTGGTTCTGGACTGAGAGTTGCATTCTTGGCTCGAGCGAGCTTCTTTCGCTGAGCGGTCTGGTTGTCCTTTGCTCGAGCGAGAAGTCTGGTCTCGCCGAGCGTTGCTTCTGGTTGCAGACCTGAGGGTTTGTGTGTTTTGGCTCGAGCGAGCCGTTCCTATCGCTCGGCGCACTTTTGAGTTTTTGGACTCGAGCGGAGTTTCTCTGTGTCTGGTCGCTCGAGCGAAAGGCTTCGCTCGAGCGAGCGTGTTTTATATCAGCGGACAGTAACGTTTTTGAACATTACTTTTTCATTTCTTTTCTTTCAAACCCTAAGCCCGAGACTCTCTCTCTCTAAACCCACACTCTCTCTAAGATTTGATCTCCCTAGAGTGTGAATCTAGCCTAGGGCCTTTGTTTAAAAGATAGAGGGTATGAGAGCTTCGACTTAATCTGAAAAAGTTTGGATTGGAGCACGTTGATCTTCGAGTCTTCATCTCCTTTTGGCTCAAACTTCGAGGTAGGGATACCCTACTCCTCTCTATGGATTTTGTCTTTAAAACTTTAGTATTTTGAGATGTTTGGGGTTGGTTTGGTAAATTTTGTGAAAGTTGGGGCTTTTGTGTTATTTTACAAAAGTTGGGGTTTTATTCATAATAAACCTAGATGCATGTTTGGCATAGAGAAAATGGAAATGTTGAATCATTGATGAAAATGGGACCTAAGGTTGAAATGTAATTATGGAAAATGACCTAATTACATTGTTTGATTATACTGGATAATTAATTGTGAGAAAAGGGGAAATGAAATGTTGATTGAATATCACTTTGGCATTTTTTCTGTTTAGAAATAACTGCTTTGGGGCTATCGGTGGAGGATAGTCCGTGATTGTTTTGTAGACAATGCATGATGCTTAGGCAAACGGAAACTA